ACCTCGACAGAAGCTCAATATGAAGGCGATCCAAGAGCGGCTGACGGAGGCATTGTGTGGGAAGGGAGGGAAGACGGTCGACACCAGCTCCGGGAAGGTGCTCGGTGGCGGTGAGGTATAGTCCTTGAATGAGAGGACCGCGAGGAGACCTTCTAGTAGGAGCCAGACGTACTGCAGGCGGTCGTCCTGTGTCTAGTATATATGATGTCAGCGACTCATAATCTCAATAGTACCTGACTGACTTACCGCGATGGACAAAGAGAGCTTGGACGGCCAGTGCGAACCGATCTGCAGAGTCCCCAGAAACCCGTCCACAGTCTGTTCTGACCAGCTACGCGCCCTGACATAGTCGACGAACGCGCACATGTTGTCTGTCGAGTCACGAGCACTATAGCCCTCGAGCTTCAAGTAGCCGAGAGTGCCGGACGTCATCGAAGGCAAATCCGCGTCGGATCCATACAGCTTCTTGGCGATGCGCGTGAGTAGCGGCTCGATGTAGGTCCTCCAGCTCAAGCTGTTCTGTGCGACATCCACGTCGAACGGGCTCAATGGGCGAGATAAACCTGACGAGTTGGACCATTTCTGCATTAAGGCTTTAAGCAAATAGACGACTAATAGAAGCGAGATTCCTTACCTCTGGATCGGGGTCCGAATCGTGGTTCTCTGTAGCGTCCGCAAGGTCATGAACATGGCTGTTCTCGATCGTCGTGATAGCCGGAGTGGAAGTAGTTGGCCCAGGCGGCCCAGAGCGCGTCGACATATGGACCTGGAGAAGGGGATGAGGATGAGGGAATATATTAGATAGGGAGTCTAAGCTGACTTCAAGTTGGGTAGACGAAGTACTCGTCCGATGCGTGCCCATGTTTGTAGTATAGTGCCGGTTGGTATGCACAACCCCGCAGCGTCGGTGGTGGAGATATACGGAATCCGAGAGCCACATTTGTTTCAGGATCTTGGCCGAGTTGCAGAGCTACACAAAGTAGGTTAGCTGCGAGAGGAGAGGACATTAGTCCAGTAGATTAGTTGTTCTTTGTTGAAAGACGAACCATCTGGACCCATCCCGCCTACGGGTCGTTGGAGGTCTGGAGCAGCGCCGAGGTGAGAACTGAACCGAGTAACGTTGGTGTCAGACGATACGGGATAACGCCGTCGGACATCTTCATAGCATTGGCGGCAACGCGGGTGCTTTTACGGCCTGGTTTTCCATGTCCAATGGTAATACAGGAACATGTCCGAGGTCGCGACAGATGTCGAGGTTGGTGACGTTTAGACGGAGATTGTTCGTGGACTCGAAGACACCTGCCAAAATGATATCCTAAGGATGAAGTGCCAGCATGTGAGCTTGCGAAGTAATAACACATACCACTCTCAGAGAAAAATCCGTCGATGCATTGAATAAGCAGGCTGCTGAAAGAAAGACATGGACAAGACGGCTATCTAGGATGCGGCCTCAGGGGAGAGACGCCAGTGCACCGTACAAGGTGCCTGCCCTAAACTCACTTTAGCATATAAGTACTTAGTAACAATCATCAATGATTCGATAAGTACTTGCTGTTCAAAGTTCCGCAATTCAAGTTCGTGCATCTTGTCCTCCTCGTCCTCTCAGTACTTTAGTGGTCACTCCGTAGTCCAACCATTTCTTGTCTTGTTCACAAGGACTATTACATGTGTGTACCATTCGGCCATCCCGATTCCGATTCTCGTCTGTCTGACTGAATTTCAGGGGGTTGTAGCTATGGCTGTCGACGGCCTCAACATCGATCTACTCCACATCATCTTCTCCAACCTGGAGAAGGACGTGCCAACGCTCATCTCGTCTGCCACCGTCAACAAGCTGTGGCGAGACGTCGCTCTCCCTCACGTGTTCGCCCGACTCGTTGTCAGACGGAAGGAGTCGTTCTCTGACTTTGTTGATTTCCTGGATGCCAACCCGCGTATTGCGAGCTACGTCAGGCATCTCGCGCTTGCAGGAAGGCGGCGTTCTGGTCGGGGTAAAATTCCTTGGCTGAGCCCGAAGACGCTTATACCCATCATATCTAGACTGCCAGGTCTTCGAGGGCTCTCGACTGGGCAGCTCCTTCAGATCAGCAGCGATCCTGCAAGTGACGCAGAAAGACAACAACTTTCCCTACCAATTCCTCTACTGCGTCTGAACATACTTATTACTGGGGTCGATAAGATACCGTTCCGGGCACTCTACAACCTGCTTTCCCTCTTCGATATCGGCACCCTCTGTCTCTATGGGAGGATGTCGAACATCGAAGCTATCAAGGACGTTCCCGTCGACTCAGTCGACGTCCGAAAGCTCATCCTCGGATATGACCATGTCGCTTCGGTGGCACGCCAATGCGCAGTATTGGAGCCTGTGCTATCCCCGGCCACACTCACGGAGATCTCGATCACAATCCGATTCACAAACGAACGCATCAAGCGATTCTGCACGTTCCTCGGAGTTGTCGGGCAGCAGCTGGTGAAGTTAGACATAAACATATCCTCCGTTGCGGAGGCCTACTCCCCTGACATCGGTGAGTGACATTCCAGTATTAGTCACCTCAGTGCACGATACCGGTCTCATCATTTCATGCCCATAGCCCATATACTATCGGATCATTACAATGAGTGGACACAGCAATTGCCCGAGGCGATCGCCACTCTTCCTACCATCAAGCTGCTCTCCCTCCGCATCAACCATCCACAGACAGGGGACTTCGACAACCTCTATGGGGTGTTCTTTAGCACACTCGCGTCGACGACGCTGGAGAGAATCGTGCTCGAGCTCAAGGGTATCCTGGCATGGCACCATCCTACAATCGACAAACGATTGGATCGGCTCGAACTCGATGGACTGTCGAGTCGCACACGCATGCCGCGGCTCCAGAGCGTTACTATATTGCTGGGTGGAGTGGAGATCGAGTCCCGGGAAGAGGTCGTAGCGTTCGCGCAGGAGAGGTTCGCATCACTCCATGCCGCTGGGCTACTGCGCCTTGAACACAAGTGATATCCTACCATCATTTCCTCGACTTACTACACACCCTCGATTCTGTGAGCTCTTTCCCCTCGTGTTGATCGTCCCTCATTCCGCTCGTGCTCCCTCCTTCGTGAATTACACATATATTCTACTATCCGATTTCAACGCTGTTTGCTCATCTCAGTATGGCGAAAGCTTCTCAAGTTCCAGGATTCATTAACCTTCATTTCTCGACGAGCTACAATCATGGGCTCAAGTTCCCCCGAGTTCTTCAGCTTCAACGACAAGGACATTTCCTTCGACGCACTTGCTGTCGGACCGTATCGCCGGCCGTGCTGGTCACGCGGCGTGAGAAGTGCGGGTGCTGTGGGCGACAGTTTCGTGGACTCCGCGTTCTTGCCGTCGCGCTGACGTTTCGTTTCGGCTCGCCACACTCAGATGAGCGTCAAGGTAGGTATTAGGGGTTATGAACTCGTTCATGACATGCATGACATCCGGGACTAACTGCTCCTTCCAAGAGCTTGCTATGAGTCGCAAGTCAGACCAATCCTCGCCGTCCGATGACCAGCTCGACAGTGGTTTGTGCGCTCGCTCATCGCCACGCTCTACGCTGACACACCCGACTTCTCAGCCATCAGCATCATCGATGATGTACGGAAGAATCCCATTCAGCTAGATGGGCGCGTTAGATGGAGACTGGTGCTGATCGAGGTCTGTTTGCTACACCTGACACAGAGTCGAAGTGCTAACGTGCTGCGAACTTTTCTATAGGCCTTGCGATACTGGTACATCCCTGCCTGTCTCGTTGGATACGGGGTACATCACGTATTCAGACGACACGTGCCTCGCCGAATGGCCCCATGGACGCCCCTCAGACTCTCGGAGCTCTACGCAACCTGGGGTCTGGGGATTTCGCTCGTCTCCGAAGCATTCCCAACTCTCAACCGCTTGCACAAGGACGATGATTTGGCCGTGGTGGCCGTCGCGGGGCCGCTTGTCCAATCTGATCCAGTCAGACGTGGCAGCGTGTTCTGCAACGAGGCCGTCCAGGATCCGCGAGCAAAGGAGATTGCGCGGGCCATTCGAGAATGTACGTCGTGAACATGAAATTACTGTCAATAGATGCCCATGATGTCTTAACATTCCGTTTGCTGTTCAGGTTCTTATGACCGCAGCCTCCGGGGGAAGCTACTACAGTGGCACTACCACTTGTGGTCGGACAGGGCCTCTTGGGACGAGGTTGCCACGACGATCGCCTACCGAAGCTTGCAGAACGACCCATCGTGGACCCCCCGGAACTTCACAGACTTCGACATCTGCACGTCATACATCGCCCTGTACATGCGCAACGGGAAGCGGGTATGCCACAAGTTTAGTACGTCCGAGCAGACTCGCACTAACTCTCAATTCGGATCCACGTGTAGAGTACTTACATCGACTGCTCGCTATACGCAGCGCTCGGCGCCTCTATTCCCATCGCAATTTTCCTCCGCCGGAGCGGCCGACGCTCTCTGTACCTGCCCATGAACATCATACAACGAGTCCTAATCGGACTCATCGGACTCATTTTCTACTCCCATGCTGGTTTTGCCTACTACAGCTGGAACAATCTGTGGAATATTCGGGACAAAGAGCAGGTAGCGGCTGCTGTGAGGCGTGTATTTGGGGATACTCGTATCGATGAGGAGATTGCGGAAATGAGGCAGGCATTGAAGGTGTTTGACGTGTTCGGACGCTGATGGCGAGCCCGTGCACTACTAGATGTTCGTGCCTTCTGGTGATGCTGAGTTGTGCCGCTTAATGTTGGGGAATCTAGGCTTGCCGCTTGCTGCATCATGAATTAGAGCTGTGTGTAGCGTAAGGGTAGTGACTATCGCATTTTTCACCAGAGACAAGAGATGAGAACAAGAGCGGAGCCATTATATTCGTGATCCAAGCTGGTCTGTACTTACAGTACTCAGTACAAATGAGCGTCAGTGTCTAGACGGTCCATGAGCCCAGGCCGTCCGGAAACAGTAACGTCTCCAACGTCTGCATTACGGGGGAATCGAACCCCGGGCGGGTCGATGGCAACGACCCAGGTTACCAATAATTCTACCCCATTAATGCGTTGTATATATACTGAACAGTTGTTACTATTATAACAATCGCCAGTAGAAAGCTCAGCGCGAAGTGTTTGAAGACTCGGAGTGATCTGTATCCAGTACTGTAAGAGGGCGAAGATGTAAAGTTAGAAGTTGTGAATGAGGCAGGTCTCAGGAGCGCAGTGAGTTACAGTTGTAAACTTCAGTAATAATTACATCACTGTAGTGAGATCAGTCTATTTCTAACTTCATCAATATCACGTAAGCACAATCCTTACTGTTTGTAATCCCCGTCCGCATACGCTGAGCTGAATTCACTCGCTCATCCTCGACGTCGACGACGGCGAGTGCGGCTCGCATCCTGCTCCTAGCCACGACCACAACATTTCAGGCCCTCGTACTGATGCTTTAAAACATCCACGCTCAACGTACTTAGCTCATTTACTTTTTCCTTGGCTTAAACGCACCCATCGCCTCCTCTGGTCGCTCGCAAGGCTCGCATTTCTTGGGGAGCGCAAACGAATCCTCGACAAACCAGACGAACACCCTACCCGCCCGTCTGAGTGGAAGAAAGCCATGATCCCGCCTGACGAGCAGCTCGTCTGCTATGACTTCCTGTACCATCCGTGCTTGGTGGAGGTGGGTCGCATTGCCTCATACTGAGCGAGAGCCAGCACCCCATAGCCCTTCGACTCCTTCGAGCGAGATTACTCGCCCATGTGGCGCAACGTGATGAAGCTCGCCCACTAGACCCACCAGACAACGCAGCTCGTGCTGAGCTATTTTCGCAAGACGCTGCGCCTGGAAGACAATGCGACCGTCCCGTCTTACATCACGATCCACGCGCGGTGCGGCGACTTCGAAGGCTGGTGGGGCGACGTCCTGAGGGCAAATTGTGTTCCGCCTCTCTCTGCGAACCCCGAGAGGAGCTGGGCGAGCAGCGCGGGATCTACGCATCTACGGTCATCGTGACCCAGCGACGAGAAGGATTCGCTGTGGTGGGAGGGGGTGCGTGGATGCGGGTGGATCCGTGTCGCCTAAGTTGCTCGGATTTCGTTATGCAACGAGAGGAATCTGGTCATCACTGTATGAGACGCAGTCACGGTCCAGGCCACGTAACAGACGGCGAGAAGTTCAGACGCAACTTTGAAGGTTTGAAATCAACGTGAGACGTTTCCTTGTCCTGTGCCACCAAGATCGACTAAATGTTGCGAATCTATCGCCGTTGGTGTCTCGATTGATAGTTCCGTCCATGAGCGCGGCTTCTTCGACCACAATGCGATTGATGGTCACCCGCCTGGCAGTGCCTAGTCCAGGCCTAGTCAATCACCGTTCCGAGGACCGGTCTAAGTATAAGCTGTGTCAGATGTGCCTGTACTCTGAAAAACAAATGCATCCTGGAGGCTGTCCAGCAGCGACAAATCTTCGACGTCCACTTGAACGCGATCCAGCAGCTCTCTTACCTCGCAACTCACAGTAAGTCCCCAAAGTTCCTGACTGAGATGTCCACAAATTCATCCATTCTGTTACTTGTAGTAACCGGACAACGGTCCAAGTTCCGTCTTCTACCATGGACTCAGAATCCTTCAGGGTTTCTCCTGGGGATGGAGACAACACATCAAGTCAACGTTCCGTCCGCGGCTTACCGACACCTCCCGTCGAGCATGAACCCACCGCCACCTTCGCGGACACGACAGCGCTTCTCGATTCTGCAGATGCGCGTTTCCAGAAATATCAAGAGAAGCGCAGCGTCAAAGTTCTCAACACCGCTGGTATGCCTTCTTCAAATGCGTCGTCGCCGTACACTCTGGCTGATAGTGTCCTCAGGCAACACTTTGGGCGTCATCCGAACTGATGTCGCTCAAGTACAGAGCTTTGCCTCTCCATTGCAGGTCGTCTTGGACAGCGATCCTGCGAAGGCACTCCGTCAGACCGTTGCCGCCCTCGTTGATGGCATTCCTGCTCTTCTGAAGGTCCTCGATGACGTCGCGCAAATCCACCCTTTCATCAAAGGTGAGCCTGATCGACATCTCCGGCATGAAGAGCTGCCTATGTACTCATCCCTCCACTTCCAAAGTCGCTATCGGAGCATTTCGCGTCGCGGTCGAGCTCGACTTGAAACGAAGGGACAATGACAAGAAGATTCCCCTCCTCTTCGCCGAGATGCGAGACATGATGGCAGTCCTTGTGCAGTGCGTATCCTGCTGCCCAGTGTATGATCTGAGCTGACGTCCCTTTACAGGCTCGGAGAGATTGCTCAAGACCAACGCGTTGGGACCGACAACAAGACTATCGAGGATCGCATGGGCAACCTTGTGAAGAAGACCGAGGAAGACATCCGGAAGTGCGCGAACGCGTGCAGTGCGTACTCGAAGAAGCACACGTTCTCCAAGGTTCTCCAGAGCTCGAGTTGGGACGAGACCTTCAAAGGCTACATCCAGGGGTTCACCACTCGTCGAGGCGAGTTCGAGTTCGAGCTCTCTTTGTACGTGGGCCGAGCCGTCAACACCGCGAACGACCGCCTTGTCACATTGGACGAAAAGTGAGTTCAAAACAAACCAGCGCAGCGATCACAATACTGCGGTGTCTGATCCAGTGACTTCGTCTAGGATGGATCGTCTGCTGAAGTTCTTCGAGGCGTGCGTCAGCCCCGAAGAGCGCTATCTTGCCGACATGGTGAGAAACGCCGGTGGTCCGGAGGTCGTCATCAACGACCAAGCCGTCTTACGGAAGCTGTACGAAGACAAAGGGCGGCCTCTGGAGCATCGAGCAACCGGCCGGCATGACCCCGAGGACGACTTCCAGCAGCTGCAAGAGGAGTTGCGGGTCGACCCCGAGACCGCCATCCGCGACAACCTGGAACAGTTCGAGCGGAAGTTCAGGATCCAACAGAGGGAGCTCGAGGAGGAGATGCGCAGGATGATGCACCGTGAAGGAGACCGTATTATCGATTCTTTCACTGCTGGTCCACACGACAGAATTCGCGACTGGGTACGTCGTCTGTGTTCACTTCGCCCGCGCATCGTTTCCGCTAAACCCTGGCCATGCGTAGGACATACATGAGATCTGGAAGGATATGGTTAGCGGGTTGCACCCAATGCATGCACAAAAGTACTGATTGATCCGATACAGCGTTGGCGAGGGAACGTGAAGGCCCGACACTTTGTGTTGGCACTCCGCGACTACTTCAGCGATAGGATGGACGAAGTCAAGCGTGTCAGGAACGGCGAAACATCACTAACTCCCCCACGTCCAATCAGTGAAGAAGATGAGTGGACGTTGGAGTACATCAACATCACGCGACTGCAGCCTATCGCTGAAGCTTTCGATGACGACGCGTCTGGCTTCATCACTGTGGCTGAAGTAAACGCGTTCACGCAAGCCCGTCCGGATGACTGGAGGTGAGTTGATATCCCACTCCCTAGGTAGCCGCCTCTCACGACCCACTTTCATAGTCTGCTACATTGGCTCGCATACTGGGCTATTGGTGAGATTCGAGCAGCGAGAGTTCGTCTGTTGGATCCTGATGTGGAGTATAGGTTATCAGATGGTTATGAGCGACTACGCTGCCAAGATCGATGTCATCCTTGCCAAGATGTTCTCGCTCAAGGCTCAAGTGCTTCCCGCGAACAGAAATGCTGTGGAACAGTACCTCAACCATGTGTGGACCATGATAACTATGCTTACGTCCGCCTTCCGACGAACACCTATTGACGAATCGGTGATGAGCAAGTTCGAGAGCTATACGAAGCAGGAAGAGAATCGGCTGCGACAGAACCTCAAGGACGTGAAATACGACTTCGATGCCCGGGATACTGTCGACATTGTGAGAGGCCCTGGCAGGATCGAAAAGGTATGACTCCTGAGTGGCCATATATTTTGAAGATAGTACGTGCTAACAAGCGTCTAGCATATCTTCCCGCTTCTCTATCTCATCCTACTCCGGGACTTTGAGATCATGCGAATTGCGCGGAAGAGTCTTTTGCATGTGGACGAGTTATACGATGCCGTGGACACTATCGTATGGGCCTGTGAAGCAGTTGAGGCACGCTGCGAAGACCTGAATGGTAAGTACTCACGTGTACCAGGCAACGACCGCCACGCTCACTTGTCTTTGAGTTAGCCCTATTCAGACAGCAGAAACTCGATCCAAAGCAGCAGTTCAAGATGGTCGCCTTCGAGATGGTGAGTAGCAAACAATCCTTAATGTTGTTATGAGTAGTCGCTAATGACCAGGGATAGTTCAAGTTCGTCAATGACGAAGACGAATTCACGTCAATGAAAAACATGAAAGAGGGCAAGTTCGTTGAGCAGGAGTACCGCGACGAAGAGGAAGCCCAGGATGTCGATGCTAACAGCATCATCAACCATCCCCTCCTGAGTCCAGAGGTGCTCTTCGCTCGACGCGATTCTATTGATGATGAATCGGATGCTGAGGTCGACCCGCACATCCATCCAATGTGAGTACCTTGCTCATAAGTTGACTTGCACTGACATGACTCGATATACAGCCTCGGAAGATGGTCTGGGTTCTACATCAACAACTTTCAACTGTATCCATGTGACAACATGCTCGCGCTAGACCTCCGAGTCTCTTCAACCAATCCGAAGCAATTCCAGGACTCTGGGATCGCCGCCAATGGGACGTACTGGACCTTGACTGGAGAGTACAACATCGATCCAGAGAGCGGGAAGGTCACATATACCTTTGCGATCACCTATCAGGCTCGTTGGAGCACGGAGTCCTTCCGCGGAGAGCTACAGCCGAGTGGAACTGAGCTATCCGGGACCTTGGGATACGGCGCAAAACCCACAACAATGCCATTCACCTTCGTCTTCAAGAGGCTATCCTGCGATCGCATGCGATTCTGGCCCTCACCCAAGGAGTTTGCGGAGAACAAGAACCGGGCACTCTGGCGATTTGCGTGTCGTGCTGTTCTTGATGAGACTCGACATCGCATGAGTTCATGGGCTTGCCTTAGAGAGCGCTGGGATAACACTCGACGTTATGTCGCCTTGTTGCAC